CCTGAATTTATCAGCAGAAATCCATGTTTTGAAGTCAGCCAATCAGTGTCGTTCAGCAATTCAGCATTCAGTAAAAAAATTCAGCGTTTTAGTATTACCCAAAGTTAAAGGAGCTTTAAGTAATTCTATTGGCTAAAAGGTAGTTTAAGCCAGTATAGAATTGCTTAAAGGCTATGTTCACACTACAACTTAAGCAGCTTAATTTTTTCGCCTTAAGGATTCTGACTGGTGCCTTTACGAAGAAAAAGTTAAGACACCAATCAGAATCCTTAAGGCGAAAAAATTAAGTTGCTTAAGTCGAAGTGTGAACATATAACTTTTGTAGTGTAGACAGGGCCTATCCCGTTTCTGTTCAGATACCGCTACACAAGACGCATGCAGATCTTCGTTGGTCAATTTCAGCCATACATATACGAGTGTCAAAGTTAAGGCGAACAAAAATCCTTCATTGCATGTTAGAAATCGATTTCGAATTTCAAGAATCTTGGGAATTATTTATAGAAAATCGATCGATTTTCTAGAATATTAGAAAATCACGAATTTCTAAAAAAAAGCCAGAAAATCTACGAACATTTTAGGAATTACAGAAAAAGCTCCATAATTTTCCAGGTCGATTTTCTATAAACTGAAAATTAATTCCGAATTAAAGTTGTAGTCATAGATCCGTGGTCATCAAATTACTAATTCTCCTGCTCTTCAAACATTTCACCATGTCTACTGGAAAAATTAATGTATTAAAAAATGAAGTAATAAAATCCTTCCATGATGAATTTAAAAGTGATCCAACAATATGTATATTTGCTCCTGGTCGAGTAAATTTGATTGGTGAACACTTAGATTACAATGATGGGTACGTTTTATGTATAAGATTAGGACGAGTAGAAAAAATCACTATTAGATTTACTTTCAAGAGTTGGAATAAACAGATAGAGGCTACTATAAACGATTTGGATATGATTTACTGTATCATAGCTGTATCATTTCTTGCTAAAAGTAACGAATATTATTAGTATTTTTGCTTTTAGGTTTGTATTCCCAATGGCTATTCAGTTAGGTACATCAAGTGTTTGTTCATGTTATGTTTCTTACTAGGTATTCTTAACTTTTACACTAGGTACAATTATTGTTGGCAAACAAATTGATGGAACAAAATGTACGATAAAAACATTATCAGAGGACGTCGATAAACCGACTCATATTGACATTGATTTAACCAAAGTGGTGAAACCCGTTGATTCACCAAAGTGGTCCAATTATGTGACTGGTGTATTGGCATTGTATCTGGATAAAATTAAACCAAAACAAAAGCACGCATTTCAGTTGTGTATTGGTAACAATGTACCCGTGGGAGGTGGATTAAGCTCATCAGCATCAATTGAAGTGGCAATGTGTACATTTCTTGAATGCTTGTATCAACAAGAACTTGATAAATTAGAAAAAGCATTATTATGCCAAAAAGCCGAACAAACATTTGCGAATGTGCCCTGTGGTATTATGGACCAGTATGTTGCTTGTAAGGGGGAAAAAGATCACGCCGTATTAATAGATTGTCGCACAAATACGTCAAAACTAATTCCAATGAAAGATCAAGATGTGGCAATACTGGTATCGAATACAAATGTTAAGCATGAATTAGGTGTGGGAACATTTGGTGAACGAGTGCAACAATGTGAGGAAGCTGCTAAAATATTAGGTATGTTGACTGTAAAGTGTATCTATATTCCAATGTCTCTTCTACAGCTTCAATATTTAGGTAAAAAACGTTTACGTGATGTTGAGTCATTAGATGAATTGAAAAAGCTACATGGAAAGATGCCAGATGTTAGTTATCGCCGAGCTTATCATGTTATTACAGAGATCGATCGTACAAAAAAGGGTGCTGAAGCATTAGCTGATAATAATTACGAGTTATTTGGAAAATATATGCTTGAAAGTCATAAATCGTTAAAAGACGATTATGAAGTATCATGTGAAGAATTAGATCAATTTGTTGAAATACTTAAAGATATAGATGGAGTATATGGTACTAGAATGACTGGAGCAGGCTTTGGTATGTAAAACGCGTCTTGTTTTTAATTTTTTTGCTTAACGGAGAAAGTAGGTTACGACTTATGATTTTACTTAGCGGAAGAAACTATGCTTTTTCTCCTACTCCAAAACAAATAGATCTTATAAAAACACTGAATCTACTAACTAAACATAAACGACTGCGCTATATTTTTTTAGGAGGGTGCACCGTTACACTAGTTAAAAAGTCATCTGTTCAAAAGTGTGTTGATGCAATAAAGAAGGAATACGAAGGAAAACCGACGTTTTATGAATTTTATCCGAGTGATGGTGCAAGAATTCTTAGTTTAAACGACGAAACAAAATAATCAACTGTGATATATATGAAATAGTTAAGTAAAAGATAACATTGCTTCCTCGACAAACATAGTTTTATCTTGATTTTTTTTTCTGTTTTGTTTTAATGTTCATTCCAACCATGCAGAATTTAAGCCATATATTTTTCTTTTTAAATGAAGATCTGATATAAAATTATTAAACTCAAGTATTGCTTTTTTACGTACTTCAATCTCATTTGCTCGGCTTTTTTTTTGTCCGTTTTTGTCGATTGCTTTTTAAACAAAACAATTTGGACTATCAGTGATTTTGTGTTTTTTTATTTCTTTTATGGATTTATATTACATTCCACGGATTGAATCTCTCTTGCATACTTGGTTTTTTAATACTTTTTGTTTTTAATAGATTGATTTTTTCTTCTAATAAAAAGCTAAAAGTTTGTTTTAGTAGAGTTTTCTTGACGGTTTAATTTATAGAAATGCTATGTTTTAAACACAGTTTACAAGATGTGTGCACTAAAACAATGTTCCGTTTTGACAACTTTTTCCTATTGCGTATTTCTTTAACGTTCAACAAATTTATATTTTCAGAGTAAAATCTATTTTTACCAACGTCATGAGTGATACTCCTACACCTCAAATAATTGATCCACATAGTATCATAGTAAAAAAATCATCAACATCTGAAATTGAAATCTTTCGTAAACCATTACCACCTTCATTAAGACGTCAAAAGCGAAAAACTCTTGATGAAGAAAAGTATGTTCAAGATTTATCACACATAATTGAACGTGATTTTTTTCCCAATATTGAAAAACTAAAAGCACAAGAAAAGTATCTTACGGCATTAGCTACGAATGATGTTGTGACGTTAAGAGAACTGCAGTTGAAATACAGTATTTATCGTGGTCCATCACCGTCTCCAACAATGGGTGCAAAAGGTAATTAAATGATACAGTTAGTAAGAATATATATTGATTAACATTTTATTCTACTTTAGATACACCGTCAAATTCATTCGAAACACCGTTAGAAAAAATGCGTGATACTCCAAAAACTCGAAAAGATGAACATTCAAAACAACATATGATAGAAGAGGAAGAAGATGAATGTAATGATGATGATAACGGCGATAACGCTTCAACAACAACGACAAAGAAAAGTATGTTTAGTACCAAAAGTTTAATACATATTTTAAAAGTTTTAGAATTTATTCTATTTTCTAGAGAGAGCACGTGATCTGACGTTGGATAATTATTTGAATTTAAATACAAGTGAAGATAATATATCGTTTGAACAATTAATGGATGAAAAAGAGAAAAGAGAGAGAGCAAAACTGCATCAGGCATGGTTATTTGAACAACAACATTTAAGAAAAATGGTAAACATATTTAATTCTTTGAATTGTGTCAAAATCGACGAAGAAAGCTATTTAAAATTAACCATATTTTCTTATGTTTCTCTTTTCTGTATTTAGGAACAAGAAACACAATTGGCACTGCCATCTGTGGAACAACAAGCAATCACAAATAATCCAGGAACCATAGTAACATGGCCATATACAGCGAAGAATGCCGTAATGTATTATCCAGAAGGTAAGTCATCGATAATACTTTTGGAGATAATTATTTTCATTTGTTTCAAATATCATTGTTCTTTGTGATTAATCTATTTGTCTTTTGAATGTATCACACTACATCTAACTTTGTTTTTGTAGGATGTGAACTGACATCAGCTGAAAAAATTGAACATGCTAAACGTGTTCGTAGTATACAACATCACAATACACGCTTTGTCCAAGATCCATTTGCTATAACAGATTCAACATCAAAAATCACCACATCTCGTAAACAAGCCATACAAATTGATATTGACGGTTCCGAAATTAAATCAACTGAAACTCCTAAAGTAAACGGTTATGGATTTGTTGTTACACCATCACCGATGCCTGGTCAACACGGCGATGAGAGTCCAGTGATGACGTGGGGCCAAATAGAGGGTACTCCATTCTGTTTGGATGGTGATACATCACAAGTACTTGGCCCATCATTTAAAATTAATACAACACCACTACGAGAGCAACTAGCAATGGAATTAGTTGAAAAAGCATCTCAACAACATCGTAAACGAAAATTAGAAGCGATTAAAACGATAAATAAAAATTTCTCAACAACATCTAAACAACAACAACAAACAAAACAAGAACTTGTATCGAATATGTCACCTGCAGCTCAACGTCTATTGACATTACGTTTAGGTGTGAATAGAACTAATTCATCATCAGTAAATAATCGATCGAACATGTTTACACCGTCTCCTATTCATCGTACATTTCATGGAAACAGTCCAAGAACACCCTCAAGTCTGGGAATAATAAAACATCAGCAGTCGTCTCCATCAACACAAGGACTCACTGATAATTTACTTAATCTAAGACGTTAAATAATTTGTAAATAATAGCGTTTCTCATTTTTAAACTGTTTTTCTTGTTTGTAAAAGAAATGATGTACACTATAATTTAAATGACTCTTTTATTTTGTCATTAATACAGTAGAAATGACGTTTTTATGGAACAAATCAATTGACTTATCCGACTTTTTAGCTAAAAAAAATCTTTTGAGGATTGAGTACAATCCAATTGGTTTATACTCTTTATATAAATTAATTATTTGATTCAGTTTTAGTTAAGTTCGAGTACAGAAAAATCGAATTGAAGTCTGTCGATAGTTTTATATGACGTATTTTAAGAATAACTTTTGTGATGAATAGTGGTTCAATATATTTTTATTCGTTCTCAAATTGTTTCGATTCTCTTGGTTGCACTTTTACACATATTAATGCAACGTAAATTTATATATTATTGTTTGGCCATTATCAGCTTTACTTTAAAAATGTATAGTATGTTATGTTATACCATAAAAATGTTCAACAGGTTTTATTCAACTGTGGAGTACTTTTTAAAAAAATTATATACAGGCATGTATTCAAATTTATGTGTATATAATGAAAGAGAGAGACTAAAAAAGAAGGTATATTCATTGAACAATTTTGATTTGTTTTCGAACAACAATGATCATAATTTTCTACTTCAGACAAGCACTTCAACTGTTTTTATTCTCACTCTATCTGATGTATTCCGCATAGAGTGATCTGAATACTAAACTATTTCGTACAATTAGAAAGCACTATAGTGAGTTGTATTTTCACTAAAAGTAAAAAATAAAACGTCATAATGAAGTGGAACATCTTTATCTTGCTAACAATAAAATGGAAGGATCGATGAGATTTTTTTTCTAATATGGTTAACTCTGCAGGTAACTTTTAAATACAGAGATTCTCGAAAGTGAGAACATACCAATTACATATTCGGAACTTTTCTTCATGATAAGCAAGTAGTCGATGCAATAATAGCTAATAATTATTATATTAAAAATCATACAAAACTGAGAATATATTAATTAGTGTTTCTACAAGTATGAGAAAACTATATTCATTACATAACAATGATCGACATAGGCTTTTTTTGATCTGCAACTCATACTATACCATTCCACTACTAAGAGTAGGATATTTCTTTGAATCCTTTTTTTGTCTGTCTCACAACTCATTGTAGAGAAAAATTAATATAGAGATAGTTTCGGTCTACGTAACAGTTTTATGTGAGAAAAATGAACGTTCTACATAATGAAAATAAAAAAGAAGTATAGAACTGAGAAAAATAAATGAGTATACTTTATTCCAACCAAGAAATATTTCTCTCAATATAAAAGTTTAAAATTTCATACTTCAGAACATGATCTACGGTTTTTTTTTCACTCAACATTAATATTAAGAGAAGTTTGTGTGTGTGTGTGTTCATTTAGATCTTAGTGAAAAGAAGGGAATGGACATTAAAAGAAATGAAATATAAGAACTTTTTCTTTTTCTTTCTGTTCTTCTTCTCTTATCATGTACAATTTTTAGAGTATGGTCTATCTCTCTTGCACATTGAATATATAATATCGACCTATTAAACACCTATAAGTAAGAGACAGAGTTACACTGTCTTTTAAGTTTTATTTTATGAAATTTTTTAATCAACACAAAAAATGAGTTATATTTTACTTTTTAATTTTCTTCTCATTTTACTTACAACAACACTTTTATTAATTGGTCTTACTACTCCACATTGGCTAGTCTATGATGATCATTTTTTTGGAATAATTGAGTCATGTGTACGATTATATCGAATTGGTAGTACTGATCGATATTCGAATATTACAAAATCATTGGTCGAAGCACATTTATGTTCAAATAATTTTATTAAATGGTATAAAAATGATTCACAATCAATTTTATATGGTAAGAACAACTTTGTTTTTCCAAAAACTAATAAATATGCGTAAGATAACTTGTTTATGATTTAAAGACGAGTATCCTATTCTACAACAAGGTGAATCATTGAAAACAAACTGACTTGTTTTCATCTTATCTCTTCTCTTTTGATAAATACTTAGCATTTTATTTGAACCAGCTAATATATTGAAGAAAATTGTGACAGATTGCTATCGATATTTTGTATCTATGATCGAGTAAGCTGATAAACTATTTCGAACTATTCTTCTGGCGTATACGTTACTTTATAAACTGCATTAACATAATCATAAATACCAATCTTGATCAAGTATTGATTAACTTGCTGAAATTATCGAACTTTTACACGTATAGTTTAGTAGGTAAAATATATTCACGTGCGTTTATTTGCTTGATGTTTTATTATAATTGTCAAGTTTGCACAATCTTTTGTGAAACGTTTAACAAATCCTTTTTTATAAGTAGATTGTATTTCTTCCTTTTTTTTCTTATAACGATGATGATTAAACGTTATCATCTGAGTTTTATCAAAATGACTGAAGTTCATCCGACATCAGTTTTCTGTTTCTTCATTATTGTTAATTAAATTCAACTATATGGCTTTCACCTTTTAGAATCGAATAGTACTTCCATTTTCTCTTTGTTTCATCTCTTGTATATATATGTTTAAGCATATATATATAGTTTTTCTCGTTAGGTCAGCATAGACAATAACCGGTCATACAAGCAACAACCTATGATGAAATAAGTTCAGATATAATGATGCAGGATTACTACACCCAGCGGCAAATAGTCTTTTATGAGACGTTACAATGACGATAATGTACATATTTAAAATACTTGTGCATGAGTTGAGCTATATGACAGACAAAAAAAAGAAAATAGTTCCGTTTCTATCACATCTTTCATTGTAATATTAAACAAAAAAAATGTTGTTACTTTAAATCCGATATATTGGTCTGTCACGAGAGAAAAGAAAAAAAAACTCGTATATAGAATGATTTGGACATGTTATAATAAACAATTTAATTCGTTCAAATGAGGTTCACGCATCAACAATATGGTTTAAATATGCTAATAATCGTCGAAAGAATAAATAAACAGAAAAATAATTATGTTAATTATGCATATTTGGAATAAAAATATTTGAATTTATGTCTTAAAAAAACTTACAGTGGAACTGTATAAAACAGAACTCGAAATGGTTCAAATCTTTCTTCATCTGGTTTGTTTTTGTGCAACCATTATTGATCATTGTATGTCTTCATCTGTCAGTCTATATTTTCTGTTCGCCTGTTCGATCGATAATTTCCTTCAATCCGTCTGGTTCAACACAAGATGATCCGCTTAATCATTTTTTTTCTTGATCAACATAGTTGATACGTTGATATGTGTCATCTAATTGACGTTTAGCTAGGAAATCGAATATAGTCTTCCAGGCATCGGAAGTTAAGTGCATTTGTCCATTCTTTGCAATGATAAATTATTTCAGATCACAATTGGATTTCAATAAGTTTTCGATCTGAGTGCAACTATGCTGGACATTCGAGTTTAAAGAAGAAGGAGAAAATATAGAAGGGAAGCAACGTTTTCAGATGAGTTTCTCGTGTTAGAATCAGACATATTGAAGAAGTAGGAACAACTGAAATTATTATTGACAATATTCTTGAAAAGAAGCCAGAGAGATAAAAATAAATAACTCTGTCATTATCAAACCTGTTTCCTAAGAAGTTTAATCACAAAGTCTATCAGGTGATCCAGAAATAACTGAGTTCTTTCGGAAGCTCAATTTTACTCTTACTAACGCAGTGTTTAAAGGTTTCATTTTATAGTCAAAAGATGCAGAATTTAAAATTGTCTACAAAACTAGATATTTAATTTTGACATTAATTGAGATTCTTCTACATAATTATGAAAGTATTAGAGTATCCCATTTTTTAAAATTATCCCACGTATAAACCTATTCTAGCATCATATCGCACAAGAAAAGCATTATGGATTGAAACAAAATACACGAATAGATTCTTCAGAAAATTCTGCATCTTTTGATAGAAAAATAATCATTAAAAAGTTGAACCATGCGATTAGAAACACTTTGTAAACAAATTAAAGTCTGAGCAGAATAGTTTTGAAAAATGGGATTCATATTTTCATTGTTGTGTAGAAGAATCTCAATTGATGTCAAAATCAAATATCTATCTAGTTTTGTAAACAATTTTAAATTCTGCATCTTTTGACTATAAAATGAAACCTTCAAGCACTGCATTAGTAAGAGTAGAACTGAGCTTCCGAAAGCGCTTGATTATTTCTAGACCATCCGATATATAATCACCGATTTAAAGCAACATGTTTCAATTTAAAGAGCAACTTTTTCAACCAATAGAAATGCATCGGACGTCTGTGATTTTAGAAATATTCATCCGCATCCATCCGGTCTTCAGTAACATCCGTCATGGATTTTAGTTCTTTTCCTCCTTTCAAGGCTGAACTGAACAAACGAGTGAACCGTTTCGAGCCTTGGTTTGATCTAAATCGGTTCTTTTCCAACAAATGATTGCAATGTCTAGTGACAAGTATATTCCGAAATACGCCAGATTGGTTCAAAGTAGCAGAAATAATGAGAATTAACGAATAAATTATAAAGGAACATTATTGAATGTTAATACGAGTTCTCTTTTTGTTTTATTGTAGATTATCAGAAAGCATCGATCACTATTTGTCTTGGATCTGTGTTTACATCTATTATTGCCTTAATTTTAACACATCTTACTGTCTCGTTTCACAATTTAAATGTATCAAAGCGAATTGTCGAGTGTTTACTGAGCTTATGCATTTTAACAGGTACGTTTTTCCTGAGTTTGATATACTAACACTGCTTTTCAAGACTAAAAATTATTTTATTTCAGTTTACAAACTAAGTTATGATTTTTTTTGTTTCATTTCAGTTATTCTTGCATTAGTGGCCATAGGCATATTTCTTGGATTTGAAAAACTGCAACCGATTAATAAGTATGGCTTTTCTTTCTGGACTTATGTAGCCGGCAGTGGGACAATGTTTATCTGTTGCATTTTATCTGGTATTTATCGTATCGATGTTGAATTTGAATTTCGACGATATCGTCAAGATTCTGTGGCTACATTATGTTAACAAAACGAAGATACGGGCTGGTTGTTTCTAACTTAACTTTACAGAAAGATTCGTCTTTTCAGTAGTCTTATTGAATGTTTTTACTCTTTTTAATTGATAAACTTTTTAATATTTGTACAATATTTCGCAATAAATTACACGTTAAAGATCATTGGTTATAAGACATTTCCATGCAGTTCCACCCCGTAGTACACGACATATAAGTTGGTATCCATAAAAGTCATTTGGTCGAAAATTGTCTCCGACATTTGAGAAAGTGTCACGATCTCTGATTACCCAAACAATTTTAAGGCGTTACTCGTTGCTGGAAAGAGTACAGAACACTGTACCTTTTCTCCAAGAGTTCAGTTTTTTCCCTTATTTCGAAAGAAATTTTAGCGTGATGTTGTGTTTTATCTGCTTTGAGACAAATGCTTAATTCGTTAAAGTTATAATAATCTTAAAATCTAATCAGAGAGAAAGATTTATTTTTCATCAAATGAAAGCAGTCTCCAAAGCTTGATCAAATGACATAAGAAGCCGATAGGTCTCCTTGTGCTTCCTCCAACACAATTTTGTTTTTTCACGATAGACACGAGACGTTCGTTATTCACGAAACATTTAAGCTTGGATTCATGTTTACCATAGAAATTTATCCATAATTAAATTTTGTTGTTTGATATTTCTAATTGCATGCGGAAAAGTTCATAACTTAGTTTACAAACTGAAATAAAATAATTTTTGCTCCTGAAAAAAGTAATGTTAGTACATCAAACTGATACAAAACGTACCTGTTAAGATATATAAGTCCAGTAAACATTTGACAATTCGCTTTGATACTTTTAAGTTGTGAAACGAGACAGTAAGACTTTGAGACCGTGTAACATTGGGTGGAGCTGTGTAAAAGTATTCTATAACAAAGTCTATAAAGATGAGATGGTACCCTTAAACTACGCAAACGTGGTAACTTTTTCTAAAATGGTGAAAAAAGTCATGTTATAAGATCAGGATATTCAGCACAATTTTCGGTTCGTAGTTTGTGACTCGTGACTGTCGTAATACACACACATGTGCAAAAAAGATTTTCTTTTTCGTTAACTCGTTGTGTACCTTGTTTTACGTCTGAGGTAAAAACTATGAATTTAACCAGATTGTTCTGTTTCTTTATTGACATAGTAGAATTTTTGTTGTTTTAATGTTGATACTTCTTCCTATAAAGCATTTTGTTGTGATTGCATGAAGAAAAGAACTCACTCAGAACTGTTGTAAGCCAACATTTTCAAATAATTTAGTTGAAAATATTTTTGTCGAGCTCAGGCAGCGTTGATCAACCTTTTTTTTGTTCAAAATCCACGTGAGTTGGAAAAAAAGAAAAAAAGGAAAAGGTCAATAAAAGCAAATACTTTGTCGTCATAAGTAATAAAAAAGAGAAGAAGACTGTTTTTTTTGTTTTTTTTACTAAACTTGCAAACACATAACAGGAATGTATCTGTAAAAACATATTTTTCACAAAAATCCTAAATAAAATTTGTTTAGGTTAATTGCGTACGCGTATAATGACCAATTTTAGGTAATTTTTGAAAAGCTAGTATGTCTTGCTTAATGATGGAAGAAATTTTTTACACTACACATACTCTAATCTTAACTCATATTATTAATATGTTTTAGTCATCTAATGGTTTTTTAAGGATCTTGAATAGACTATAATCCATTTTTGGTGTATTCTCAACTCTTTTACATATATATCATATGTAAATTTAACGTAAAAAACGTGCGAAAAACTAGGTAATTTTGATCACATGGCAGTTCTCAAGTGGACGGACATAGATAGCTCATATAAGACGCATAGTACTCATTGAATACATACTGAAATCTCTTTTCCTGGCAGTATTCGTCACAATGTCATCTTCAAACCGAATGAGTTATTTACGCTACGGTTTTAGACTAATTGCTGAAGTTGTACTATATAGAACTGAAGATAAAGCTAAATCAAATCAACAATACACGCAATATTGAAGAATAATATCAACGAGCACAGAATGTCAGTCATGTGAGTGATGCACACTAAACTATTCGAAGGTATATTTTTCTTCGAAATATTTAGAACTGTTACTCGGCCTAATAATATTAGTGTACGATTTACATTTAATAATAGTTTACTCGCAGTCACAATGAAACAGGGTGATTTATCCAAAGAAGAGTGCGCTGCCATTGTTAATTCGACAAATAATAATATGAAGCCCGATGGTGGCCTAGATAGCGTTCTACATAGGGCCGGAGGACATTTTTATACAAATCAAGTAATGACAATGAGTAACCGTTTCAAAGGAAACTCATGTCCAACAGGCCAGTCACGTATATTTCTTAGTGAGATTGGTAATAAAACACCATTCATTATTAATACTGTTGGACCTATTTATTCAGCCACTGAATATCAAAAATCTTCTCTTGACTTAATATCATGTTATTATACGTCACTCAGTTTGGCGAATTTATACGGATTAGATTCAATAGCTTACTCGGCTATTTCTTGTGGTGTACATGGATATCCTACGGACCAAGCTGCGAGAATCGCATTTGACTCCATACAGAAATATGCATTTAATGTCCGAGACATTCGATTCGTTTTATATGACCCAAATATTTACAACATGTTCGTTAATGAATGGTGTAAAATTTCGGAAGAACTAAACCGTCCATCATTCATACCAATGCCTACACCAGTGCTACCGAGATCAAATAGTGAAATAAACGCCGATCAATCACGAACACTGTCATCGCAACAGAAACAAGAGATACTTTCAAAAAGGCTAGCTCTATCCGAAAATGCCTCTACTTACAATGCTTCTACTGCTCGTTCGTCAACGTCAACTTCGACAATTGTTTCGCGGTACGCAACGGTACCCACTGGAAATCAAATAGAAGACATGAATTACACCAGTAATGAGGTTCCCGTTATAAAACAATCAACATTATCATGTGCATTGTGTTCTAGATGTACTGTCAATGTGTTATGTGATGAATGCTCAACATTAAAACGAGGTGGTGTATTCGCTTGCATCCTACAAAGGTTGAAACGAGCGGCGGATCATGATCTTGAAAGTTTAGAAAATGAATGTAATGCAATGATACCGGTACTAGATTTATATCCACTAACATTTAATCCAGCAAAACTTTTCGATCCGAAGAATACACAATATCAAAGAGATCCCATAGGTGAACATTATCTCCAAACATATTGTGGTAAAGCATGGCGAACATATCTGCCTGTCGAGATTGCCGGTGACGGAAATTGTTTTTATAATAGTTTTATTACTTTATCACCATCGTCAAACATGACGGCGATCGAGTTGAGAGCACGTAATGTGATTGAATTAGTTAAAAACTCTTCAATCTATCAAAAACACTATCAGGATTTATCATCGTGTTTGGATAATTTTGAAAATTATGTTACCAAAGAAATGGTGAGTGATATGATGTATTCATCATTGTGGGATATCCTCAGTCTTACTAATGTACTCCAAATTAGTCTTGAAATAGTTTATCCGAGAGTCAATGGTGGAAACGATCAATATGCTGAGCGTTTGAATAGAAAATTCTTAATGATAAACAATGGACAGTCAAACCATGACATCGTACTATTGTGGTCATCTTACAACAAGCTATCTGCTGTCCGACCATGGATGCCAAATCATTTCGTTCCACTATTGTCATTACCATACGGCGTAAGTAACATAACATTTCGTGGAATAAACGTTGAAAAAAGTTATGACGACGATTTCTTCTGTCTTTAGAGAACCTGATGGAGTTTAAGTAGCCAAAGTTCCTATTGGCAATTGTCAGATAATTTCGAAACATATTATCGCAGCATGAAGAAATGAATGTCTCCTTCGGCAAATGAGAAGGACTTTTCTTACGAGTATTTATTCGTAGCTGAACTTTTTGACCAATCTCTATAAAAGGCGGTTATGTATCTATACTTGTTGTTTGAAAAACAAAAGTTTATCAATATAATCCATGTTCGTTATGGCACTTTTGGTATATAGTCTATGTGAGATAATTAGTTTGTTCAAATATTTTTTGTTGAACAAAGTTGTTAAAGATTGTTAATCTGAGTCGTCTGATACTAACTTTTCGAAAAAAAGAATAAATACGACTATATCTTTTCTAATCTTTATTTTCACCTCATTAATTAATATAACAAAACATATTTTGTACTTAGTGCTTAACCAATTAATTATAGATGTTTTAGATAAAATCCACATGGTCATATACTTGTTTAGGCAACAGAACAAAGTTTTTAGTTCGAAAAGCAGTTGAATGCTTCTGAGATGAACGGTGAACGATCATATAAAAAAATGTAAGTAACTTACCAACAACGTTTTGATTTTTTTATACTTCAAAATATGTTGCGATGTATTTAACTGTGTTCATTGTGGACGCTCTAACAACATTCTACTCTATCTTCGCAGTTCAGACTACTGAAATTTCATGATAAATAACTCGAATGCTAGCTTTGAAAACAGATGACTCGGTAGGAAAACATATTGATATATTTCTTTTGGAATTCTACTAAAGTTGAAGTTCTTGATTTCTAAATTTTGTGACTAAACTTATGATTAAATTATTTTTTCGGACATTTTTATTAGTACTGTTGAAAGACCAGACAATATTAGTGTGAGATTTGGATTGAAAAATTCTTCTCTAATAGTTTCTATAAAACGAGGTGATTTAGTCAAAGAAAAATGTGACGTTATTGTGAATCCATCAAATGAACAGTTAAAAGCTGATGGATCTGTGGATAAAGCTTTACATACTGTAGCTGGACAATTTTATACATCTCAAGTCAATACGCTTTGTGGACGTTATACTGACAGTATACCATGTCCCGTTGGACGATCACGAATATTTCTCGCTGAGTCGAATTTTACAACACCGTTTATTATCAACACAGTAGGACCAGTTTATTCAATAGAACAATCAGAACAATCCGTTGAACAATTAAAATCATGTTATCGAACTTCGCTTAATTTGTCGAATTTATATGATTTAAAATCTATAGCATATCCGGCTATCTCCTGTGGACTAAATGGTTATCCTGTTGATGAAGCAGCGAAACTTGCTTTTGAATTTATACCGAAATATGCTGATAATATTAAAGACATACGCTTTGTTCTCTTTGAACCAAAAATTTATGACGTATTTGTTCGCGAGTGGTGTTTATTAGCGGAAGAAGAAAATCGTACAAATGATGTAGAAAGAACCGTGATAATTTCCACTGACAGTAACAATGTACAGTCTGATAACAGTTCTACAAAACCAGAGGAAAGCGTTGCAACACAAGACGACCATGAGAAGGAAACATCCTTGACAATGCCTAATGATCGTACAACAACGTGTAACAACGAAATGATTAGTAAACAAAAGCCACAGACAAAATTCAAATTAATACCAGATTTTCCGATATGTGATACTAACAATGCATGTAGCGATATCAACCTAACGGACAAATTAATGGCAAATGCCATACGTCAAATGGATTTAGGTTTGTTGTTTTATACTTTAATAGACTGATACACTTTTATCTCATTAAACCTTTGATCGTATTCATAGCATTACACTAACTCTCCACCACATTTTACTTTCGGTCAATCACTTACTATTTAATCTCATATGGCATGAATAATTCAACTGACTTTTTATTACCATAAGCTTGTTTACCTAATGCTTCAACTTTCTTTACAGGCTTTTCCTTGGTATATGATTTCTTCAGAATATCATTAATCAGATTAGTTTTCTTAAATCCAATGATGAATAAATATAATATCGAATCATTTTCCTAGAACCTGCATCTAATGAAAGAATGACAAAACCACCTGAACAAGTGAACATTTATGAAACAAAACAGGTATTATTTGAATGCGATCGTATATATTATGTGAAGGTATTAGAAATACGTGATACTGAGAAAGGCATGAGGCGTGCAAAATCTCTTGACACGCTGGTTTATCTGAAATATAGATAATAGTTTAATATTTGACTAAGAAGCAATTTTGCTATTATTAATTTCTAGTAAGACCTGGTATCGTTCTTATTCATTTTTTAGTCATCAGTTACGGCTACATCTATGTGTAAAGTTTGTCAAGAATCAAATTTATCCTTTAAATCAACGTTGCTGTGTGATAATTGCATTGCTTTGAATCGCAATGATTTATTTGAAAAAATTTTAAATCGCCTTAAACAATCGACGGTGAATGGACTGTCTTCCGTTCAAATAGAATGTGAGAAAATGAGTACAATTATCAATCTATATAAATTCTTATATAAACCGGTGAAAACATTTGACCAAATCAATTATCGAGTGGATCACGTAGCAAAATATTATTTACAGAAATATTGTTTGAATGATTATGAAAATTATCGACCAGTAACTGTTGAGGGAAATGGGAACACTAGTTTATATAATAGTCTAGTGATATTATCACCACTTCTGATTGATTCTATAACAGAGATACGCGTTCGAAATATTGTTGAATTGGCACAAAATTTAGATACTTACCAAAGACAATATCGAGACGTATCCAGTACTTTAGAATATTATCTTGTTAATAAGATGCTTAATGATAGTAATGAATTAAGTATATGGGATCTAGTAGGCATTGGTAAAATACTCAAAATTCACATACGTTCAATTTATCCATCAGTAAATGATGGCGAAAACAATGATGAACAAGTGAAAAGTTTAAATAGAACATTCACAAACATCAATAACACAAAGCATCAGATAACATTATTATGGTCACACGATTTAAAACCAAACGAGACAAAGAAACCTTGGATAGCAAATCGTCTGGTACCATTATTATCCATCGACTAGTGCACGTTTGACATTTTGGGTTTTACCATTAGCTGATACGGATGTTTTTTGCCTTTTCAAGAGAATCAAATAACAATTTAATTATCTAATAATCCAGAGAAAATGTTTTTGGTAATTAATTCAGATTACTGGATGATTCACCTACATTGAAAAAATCCATTGTCATCTCTTCATTAAACATAAACAAAGTTTCCTCGAATAATACTTTCTGTGAAACAAGAGTTTTGAAATATGTTGTTCAGGAACCATTACTTTTTTTGTTTATTGTTTTCAAAACAAGATTACTGTATGCTGCATGCTACTAAATAAACCAATAGAAACTTATTATTCCTTTCTTTATTGATTCCTCTAGATTATATTCTAGTAGAATAGCCTTAATTCTATTGAGGAGCATCTTTGTCTGTGATAATTTCAACCTTTTCTAACTTTATCTTTAGTTTTTGATTATTATCAATGGAAGAGAAATTTACATTACACGGACTTACTATTACGATAGCTTTGAATGATGGTAAAATATACGAAAGACGACCGGATGCTATCATCCAAGCGGCATGGAAACATACGGCCGACGGTGGACAGGCACGCGCTTCCATTGATTATGATGATCAACTTCCACAAAGTACTTCGTACAAATCCGAAATCGAACGTCTATTTATCGACTATGCACCTTCTTCCTTCTTGACTAAGATAACGTCGGGTCCATTTCACGGTATGGATGTTCTTACCGTGAAAGTACCTGATTATAATTCCACTCGTTTTCGAGAAGATGATCTCATTGGATCATATCAGGAAGGCTTTAACGTGGCTAATGCAAAGAATTGGCGTTTTGTACAACTAACGACATTTGGTGTGTCATCGGGCTATGATCCAACAGACGCAGCACAGATTGCATACAAATTCTTCTCAACTTATAACGGTAGCGTTAAGGAGATTCGAATTGTCTGTTGGGGCGATAGGATTTGCTTAAACTGGATACGAGTTTTCAAAAATGCACCCCATTCAAACCAGCAACACGCATCATCCCAACCACATCATTTGTCAACTCTACAATCCACATCACCAACGCCTACTAGTAACGTAGCTTCAGCATATCCACAGTCATCAACATCACCAAGACCAAATCAAACGTCGTCTTCCACAATGAATGGCGCCCAGGCTGATCAAGCAGTGGGAAAAATGCGAGTATAGAGAACGAAAGCTTATGAGAAGTTCTATAAATTTAATGCAATCTCTTAAGTTTCGTTTCAAAATTTTGGAGCTTCCAGTATATATATTGTCTCTTTCTATTTAGAACTGTGGAAAAACAAAACGATAATAAAAGTGTGAAGTTTGGTCTAAATAATAATTCATTGACAGTTTGGATGAAACAAGGAGATCTCTCAAAAGAAAAATGTGATGCTGTTGTTAATCCTACTGGACCTACCATGGCACCCGATGGGGGTGCTGATCAAGCGATCCACAAGGTCGCTGCACAGTTTTATACTGTTCAAGTGCAAATTGCGGTAGACCGTCAAGGTGGACATTATCCTGCAGGAGAATCGAGGATATTTATTAGTGATACAAAATGTCCTATACCATTCATTATCAATACTGTTGGACCGATCTATGCTTCCAACAATGCTCAAGAAGCCAGTATGCAACTGCAGTCGTGCTATGAATCATCGTTAGGGCTCGCTAATCTCTACAGTTTGAGATCGATCTCGTACTCGGCCATCTCGTGTGGAAATAATCGTTTCCCCCCACAACTAGCTGCTAAAATCGCTTTTGAATGTGTTCAAAAGTTTGCTGGAAAGTTAAAAGACATCCGATTCGTTTTATATGATCCAAAAATACTTGAAGTTTTTATTCGCGAGTGGACGGCATTGGCTGAGGAAACAAATCGAGCTCCACCTCCTAATTCACCAACGTTATCTCAACCAGTTGTTTCGAAGCCTGCAGCGGTGCCCATTGAAACTCAGACAGAAGACACGAATTATGGCAGCAATGAGGCTCCTAGAGTACAATCGTCAGCTACAACTAGACCAGCGTACAATCGTGTACCAGGAAGCTCATCACCACTTAACCAACATAACTCTTATAATAACAACAACCGAAACCCTTCTGAGTCATCGAGTCAATATCATTCTACGTATCCTTCACACAATAGCACGATGAATTCAACTATGCCATCGAATTCCAAACCGAATTTGGCAAACACCAAACGTATTTATCATGACGCCTACGCAACATCCGGCAGCGTCACCCCTGCTTATCAATCTTCGTCATCAAGAGAACGTTATTTACAGGATCAGGACAACAACGGATATGAAAATGATCGACGAAGACGACCTGAGTTGTCATCATCCACTGTCGCTGGTTATCAATCACGAACAGGATCATCGCAACAACAACAAGATATACTCTCGAGAAGACCAGGTTCATCCGCATCTGCTTCTACTCATAATGCAAGTGATTACGATCAAGGTCCTAGACGTATGTATGCAACACTAAAACAGATTAAGTGAGACATCTGATTTACACCTAATACAAGAAATAAAGTTTTAAAATTTTTCATCCATCTTCATCGTTCATTTTTTGGCATTGAATCGTTATAAAAAAACAATGTTTCAAATTGTGGTTGAGTTGAATGAGAATTTTCAAGGCAAATGTCTCTTGTTTCCCACAGGATCTTCTTCCCTATTTATTTATAGCGTTAAACGCTATAAAACATGCTTTCTTTAAAATTATGGCATTAGAACGCTACAGATTTATCTCATTATAACGCGACAGACGTAGCGCGTCGTGTTGTAACACGTTGTAAAGTTATTTTTTAGGAATTTATAGCGTTTTAACTCGATAAAAATTTTCATTGCATTACAACTCTATAAATTTATGGCATTTTAATGCGCTTCAATTTTTATCTCGTTACAACGCAATTAGAGTTGTCTACCGCCTTATAATACGTTAGATTCTAGTGTATTATAACGCGTTTGAGTTTTCTACTTTAATATAATGCGTTAGAAATTAACGCATTATAATACCTTAGATGTTTTATCTAACTATAATGCCATAAATTTAGAAAGATCTTTTATAGCGTTATAACTTATTAGATAATGCATCTCGTATTGTAACGAGTTAATATCTAATAAATTACAATGCATTATTTGTTTCTATCTCATTGCAATGTGTTATGGAAATGGAACTCGGTTTACAACGAGTTAGACAATATCCAAAACGAAAACACATAGTTTTCTCGTAAAGGACACATTTCATAAAATTCTGAGACTGCCAATCGATTCCTCTCGAAAAGTTGGTGCGGGAAAAATTACTTCGACTATATCAGACATATACGTTACTGACTTGAGATTTAGAACATAAACTCCCACAGCATACGTATTACCACTGTCACGTATAGCGTTATAGCGCTTGAGCAGTTAATGCATTGTAATGCCAAAATTTATAACGTATTAATGTGTCAGATATTATGACGGTATAATACATTAACCTGTAACGCAGATTCATGCGTTATAATGCGACGTGAATTAGGAAACACCCTGTAACGACATACAAATTACTAACGCGCTAGTCGAATTTATAGCGTTGTAGCATTATAAAATATGAGAAAGGTGTTGACAAAAATGCATTATAACACTATAATTTCAATTTTTGGGCGGTTTTTTCCACGTAACGCGTTACACTAATGTGTTACAATGCATTAAAGACATGTTTTTTCTAAATTTATCGCGCTATAACGCAATAGAAAAGCTGACACATTACAAGGCATGACGATATGCCTAACGCATTATAATGCAAGGAATACGGAAAAAAGATCCTGTGGTTTGCGTATATACTAAGTGCTTCATTTTCTGTCTGTGAATCATCGTGCTATTTTCATCTTGTGCGAGTGCGGCTAAGAAAATGTTGTTGTTTTTTCTAGGTGAATTGATGGACTATCAATCTTCAACAGGAAATCGTTACCATTCTCCTACGTATGACAACGATGCACAAAGACCACCAGCAACTCGTGTACGTCGACCTTTAGGTGGAGACGTGATAAATCCAAATAATGGTTACATGAAAACGCAAAAAAGATAACAATTTTAAATATCAGAAAATATTTTAGACTAATATTTGTTAATATGCATTCCTCCCCAATATTCAAAAAATATTTTTACTATATCTTACCCTATTAATGAACAGTATGATAGTTCACTCTTAGTTATAGATTATTTTAGTATATTCGATTCATCAATTTAGTTTCGTTTATACACGCTTTATTTTGCTATATGATCACTCTTAAGTATCAAGCAAGCAACAGAGGCATTTTTTCTACTTTTGTTGTATTGCGCATAGTTTTCAAGAAGATTTTCAATAGATATTACTCTTATTTTGCGTGACGTATGAGCAGATGCTAGGCAAAGACCTTATTTTATTTTATTCATGAATTATATTTGAGATTTGTCCTTATGTTTGAGTAGTTTTCTGTACTTATTTTACAATTGTGATATTGACAGGAAGAATAATTACGTATATGAATTATCTTTTTGAAATTAAATGTGATAAAGTTTGACAGTCTGCACATTTTCTGTAAGTGTTCAGCCTAGAAAGTTTATATTCGACCTCGACAAAGCTATTTATATTAATTTGATTGAAAATTAATTAGTTGAATGAAACCGATTAAAAGTTAAGATGAACGTACATTCAAAAAAACCTACAGGCAAGGATTTATCGAAAATCGACCTTTTGTGGACTTGACAGTATACAATGAGAAAACGTTCTGGAAAAATGGGTAGTAAATTTTAGAATCAACACATGTAGAAAGTATTTCCATCCTTGAAAAACCGTACACGATCAATAGACGTCGGCTGCTAGCAGTGACTTTCGCCTAGTGACATCGATTGAAATTCTATCAGTTTCCTAGTAGCTTGTAAGTTCATCCAATAACAAAATGAGTTTATAACTCTTTCTTTCTTTCTTTCTTTTCATTAACACACAAAAAAAAGTAGTATACGTTGCTAACATCAGCTAGAATTTCATGGGAAAAAATCCCGTTCTTACTTCAAGCTGTATTTTAGTTATAACTTATTCATAGAAAGACATTCACGTTTTATTGTATTCTTCTTCATTTAGATATTATTGTATATAACACTATTAAAATAAGTTTTGTTATTTGTTTTAGAATTTCTCGTCTAAATCCATCGTTTATTTTATGGCATCGAGTCATTATAAAAAAATTGTGGCAAAACATTTTAAATGTGGCAAATGTCTAGTGATTCTGAAACAGGGAGATATCTTAGATGAAGATGTCGATTGTATTGTTGTACCAGTTCCAGATGATATTCAGGAAAAATCTGCAAACTATTCATTGTTCAAAACAATCTATAATCGAGCCAGTAAAGATCTTCAGAAGGATCTTAACCGTAAAAGTTCCAAACCAGATTTTGTGGAGTGTTGTGATGGTGTTGGTAAATTCAAATCAATGATATTAACGAACATACCTTTTAAGGGCAAACCACAAATAGCACGGAAACTGCTGAATGCTTGTTACACTTCTTGTATAACATTATGTATTGAGAAGAAGATAAAAAACGTAGGATTTATTTCAATGGGATGTACGTGATTCGATTATTTTTTGAACAAAATAGCGTAGATACCGCTAAAATCAGCGGTTTTTGTCAAAGATCTTTTCTAACCAATTCATTTCATAACTCACGCTCTTCATTTAGGTGGCAATGCCGGATTTTCGACTGAAGATGTGACTAATGTTCTAATTAGATCAATCGAAACCCATCGTGATAAACTGTCTGAAGTACGAATAGTTATAAACGATAGACATGTCTGGCAAGATTTTGAACAAAATTTTTGTGAAAAAAGTAAAGCCAAATTTGTGTGGATCAGAGACGAATTTGAAGAAGAACAGAAAGAGAAGACAGGACCGTCACATGATGGTGGAAAATCAACACAATCGACCGAAAATAATCACAAAAAAGTTGATGATAGTCAGAATAGGCATGTTTGAGAACTGATCTATTCTCTTGTGTGCTACACAGGGCCCAAAAAAGCATGGTCTTTTTGTTTTGTTCAATATTGTTACAGTATGATTCATTTCGTTCAAAAGAACGAAATGAATCATACTGTAACAATATTGAACAAAACAAAAACGACCATGCTCTTTTGGGCCCTCAGTGTATCTTCTCTTTTCTTCTTTTCATTCCTCTATTGTTATCCTATAGTCTGATTTTGCTTTTAAATGTTTTAGAACCACGTACAATCAAAATTCTCAACCAAATACTGAAGAATCACAGTTATCACCTCAAACATCATTGAGGTACATTTTATTTTAAAAGAAGGAAAACTGTGATGACATTCGCTCAACCTACAATCTCTATGAAGTGTTTTTATTCAGTTCAACCAATGATAGTCGATCATCTGTGTCAAAAGGCAGAGGCCAACCAAGATCAATCCCCACAGCACAACCACCACAAATGCCAAATGCTTCCAAAAAGTAAATACATATGCATCAAAAATGACGTATACTTTTTTTCTACTACCTTGGCAACGTGAGAAAAGGTTTTTTTCTTTCTTGAGTAGAGGAGAATCAGACCCGTCGATCTATGTAAATATATTTAAGATTCACTTGCTCATTTTATTAAATAAGATAAGAACCAGGATTATCCTAAGTTGCTTTCCTTTTCTATTTGATTTCAGACAAGAATCTCTAAATTTGGCCTAATTGATCAGGCAAGAATGTTGTTTTAATTTTTCTATTGATTTTTCATATTTTTCACGTGTTATATGTTACTCACAATAGTGTACATAGGTATCAACAGAAATTCTTTTAGATAGGGTTAAACGGATCTTTACATATGCCAATGCTGATGTCAAAAGGGCCAACTTCTCTAATATTATATACATATAAAAAGAAAAGGAAACTAAAAGCAAACCACATATAAATTTTTTCGCTCAGAAGATTCTTGGTTACAGCTCCAAGAGACAATCGAGTATATAGTAACGGCAAAAAAGAGCATTTCTTTCATTTTGTTATTTTTTGTCCTTTCTATTGGAAACGAGAAATATGCGCTACATATGCCAATCACTGTTAAAAATATTTCCGCGCAAAGTAATGTTCAATGTATGAAAATGTGTCACAGGCGCTATATAAGGAACGAAAACTCAATAAACGCTTCTAAACTAACAATCTGCGACAATAGTGCAGTATAAATCATTAGATTAATTTCACAGATTGTCTTTTAGAAACGTCTATTGAGTTTTTGTTTCTTATCCGTACATCTTATATTAAAATTTTTACACAAGTTTTCAAAAATCAAAATCTTATATTACAATTTTTACTAACGGATAAAAATTTGAAGTGAAAGGTGAATATATAATTTCATTGAATAGTGAAGGTCTGTTTTCATACGAATAATTAACGTTATCTTCTAATTCCAGAAAATTACAAAATTTTCGAATTACACGGACGATATTATCACCTTTCATTCACTCAAATACATTTTCTTCCTAGGATAAATGAAAAATAAAAAACAAAGAAATAACTAAATATGATGACGAACAAAAAAGGAAACTCGATGTGGGTATCGTTAAAGAACTGATTCGATAAAGCGTTCGTTATTCTTAGAAAAACCCAGCTAACTTCTTACTAGAATCTTTTTCTTTCAGTGAAGTTGTTTTCTGATTTTTCGCTTTTTATGCGAGTTTCTATTATTATTCTTTAAGTTCGTTGTTGACAACATTAAAGAATTTTACTTTTTCAACATCTGAAACGTACTTATACTGCTCGAACGAATATTAAATGCGAAGATGTTTTCGTCTAATTTTATTTAGTCATTCATTATCGTTATCGAATACAACATTTCTTAATCGTCGAATTTCTCGAACATTTCGTATTAATCAAAATAAAACAGAATTAGTCATATTACAAGGTGATATAACAAAAACAAAATGTGACGCTATTGTCAACGGTAATGTAAAAATTTTCTATTCGCTGCAAAGAACAATAATAAAAACGTCTTTTTTGTCTTTTTAGCTGCCAACGAACATATGACCGGAGGCGGTGGCGTAGATGGGGTCATTCATCGTGCAGCTGGTAGAGAGTTTACAAATGCGTGTTATGCTCATAAGGAGATTTTTCCCCATAATCGTCTACCAACTGGTCATTCGCGTATACTATTGAGTTATAACATGTCAAATAACATTTCTTATATCATAAATACGGCAGTAAGCACATATTTATTGCATTATCATATGCTTAAGTTCAAGCAGTTGAGAAGATCAGTGTTCTACATTCAACCCATATGTTTGATAATTTACTCTCTATTTGAATATTTTAGGGTCCGGTATATCATGGAACAGAAAAATGTGCTATATCATTAAAGTCCTGTTACCGAACGTCATTAGAGTTAGCTAATTTGTACGATTTAGAGTCCATTGGTTATACAGCTATATCATGTGGTATCTTTGGTTATGTAAGTCACTCTAAGCTGTTCGTATGTAAGCGTATATTTACTTTTTTGTCCTCTCATGTAGCCTACTGTAGAAGGAGCTGAAATTGCCCTGACAACAATTAATGAATTCGCTAATAATATTAAAAAGGTTTACTTTGTTTTATGGGAAGATCATATTTATGATACATGGTTAACAATGGCACAAGAATTAGGATTTATTACGTCAGATACACTGCCCGGTTATCAGCAAAGTTCTCAAACTCACTTAGATGACAAACCAAGCCCAAGAACATCAAGTACAGAAAAATTCAATCAACTCAAGCCCGTCCTCGATTTGTCAGGTCCGAAAATATTAGCTGATAGCTTAAATAGTGATCAATATTCAGTAGATGATTTATCAAAGTGTTTACCCTCCCCACCGGTGAATAGGGAAGAGGAGACTAGTTTTGAAGAGAGTGGTAATCGTGAAATAGATCCTGTTGATATGAACAAAAAAAACAGTCAACAAAGTGATCAACAAGTAACTGATGGCGGAACCGAACATGTTGCAAAACCAGTAATAGGGATCGTGGATTGATAATTTTAAATAAAACCTTACATTATTTTTATATTTCATTTTTAATAGTTTTGACCGCGTTTTTTTTCTTGCTTTTCTAATAATCACATGTTATTTTGTTGTTGTGTTTTCCTTTGTGATAAAAAGAAGAGTTTTCATTTCATAGGTAACGCACTGGAAGAGCGATTTTTGTTATATGACCGATTTTTTTACTGTCCTGTATATTAACGAGATACGGACAGGAAAAACTCATTTACTTTAAGATACTGTTTATGGAAATATTCGAGTTATTTTTTTATTCAGCAATAGAATAATTATTCTATGGCCTTCTCGTTCAAAACTCACTAATTATTTTGTGATTTTTATTTATTGTCTGTGATTTTTTTCATTTTTCTATAGTAAGATTACGAAAAATAAAATATTTTTTTGCACATTTAGAATAGTAACTTTGTCAAACTTGACGAAGAAAGATTGGACTTCATACATAACTTCTTACATAACTGACGTAAAAGTAATTTTTATTTAATGGACTAGTCCGCATAAGACTTGAAATCGGCCCACTAAAATATTGTTATTTTATTGCCTCAAAGTATGCAGAATCCATGAAACTTATCTTATTTAGTGCTTTCGACTGTATCAGACGATTCCGATTGGACGTACACGACCAAATCTACTCGCAGAGAAACACCCCCGTTACACTATCAGTATTATGGTAAAATCAAAATTTCTCCGCAACTATACAGTATTTAGTCTAGTGTAATACACCATTTGATGCACCTTGCAAAGTTCTACAAGATGAGTTAATAGGAATCTTAACGAAGTCTGGCTGCGGCCATTATGAATCGAATACTAGATTTTTCCATATGTCGCCGCTATGCTACTCGAACTGTCGGGCACTTTTCTCTATAAAACTAAAGGTGATCCCTATTCATTCATACACCATTCGATGCGTCTTGAAACGCTCTATAAGATGAGTTAATAGGAACCTTAACGAAGCCTGACACCAAGTTTTATGAGTTTAATACTAGACTTTTCCATAGGTCGTGGCTATGCCAAGGGAACTTTTGTTTCACTTTTTTCTATCAAACTAAAGAGGATTTCTACTCATTCATACATAATTCTATCCCGAGTTCAGTTCAGAAATTCTTTGCGAATACGTCTTCCGCGTAGAGCAAACATTTCTGAAGAAAATGAGACGTCTCCGAGCTCTTTATGACATTTTTTCTTCCAACAGCATTCAGTTTACGGAGGGTCCCATACCACCAAAAGTCCCATTCAGCAATCCTGAAAGTCTCGAATTCTCGAATCCTTCAATTCTTTCGATAAGCCAAGGATATAAGAATTCCGGGATTCCCTCCTTTAAATACCTTGCCGGTATTCTTCAAGCGATCCTTGTGTTACTGTTTCACCGCGATAAACTGTTAATAATGTTTGCTTATTGCGAGAAAATAAATTGAAATTATATTTACGATTCTTTTTATATGTATAGATTAAATAACATAACAGTCTAATATTCATTAGTTTTGTTTCATCGTCATGAGCAACGTTTACTTATTACATGTTTATCACATTTGTAAGAGGATGCTTCAATCAAAAATCTGTTCTTGTAATATATAAACCAATCTACTCGTAGTCTCGCAATGTTTCATTTAATATTAAAAAGATAAAACTATTTTGTGTATGAAATTATACAAAAAAGACGTTCAGTTCTAAATGGTATAAAGAGAGAGACTAACCAAACAAAATATCTTTTTAAGGTTTCGTACAGCACTCTAAATCCGTCACTGGGAAAAAATTGCATGGGAATGTTCCCTCAGTCGAACCAAGTGTTTCCCAGTTACGGATTTAGGGTGGTGGCGAATCCTTAAAAAGGTTTATAGATGGTGACAAAAGTTTAAACCCTTCTTAGGTTCGTTTTTTTTTAGAGAGTAGTCGTGTATCGTCCGATTACATACAAAATATATCTAGATTTTTCCCATAGGTTGCTTGTGCGGTGTTATTTTATCAATTAATTCCAATTCTTTAAGCTGTTTTTCTGTTTCTAATGCTATTTTGTTATTAAACGTTTTCCAGTTGTCTTGATTTAGATGAACTGAACTTGGAACTCTCTTCTGTCGCTCTAAAAAACTGGATAAGAAACCCCAAAGGTTCTAGAGATTTCGAAAGCGTCGGATTTTGTAGAAAATTCAATACTCTATCATCGTAGAGAGGTCTTAGGGAAAGAAGCTTTTTAAAGTTTTTCATGGAAATACGATAACAAGCATGACCAAAAAGGTACAAAAACAAGAATAATTGGCACTGCGAGCAACATCACAAACACCCTCACTCGCATCCAAAAAATGTACATATCTCTGACAATTCCAAAAAACTATTAGCAGAAGTATCCGTTTTTAAGTATAAAGAAAAAGGATGACGCGAAAGCGCTTTCCTCCTTCTTTCATTTTCTCACATCATAGAAAGAAAGGAAGAAAAAGTTATCTTTTTTCTCCTTTTCTCGCGTTTACACCGGAAAATGATCTTGAAACGACTCAGCATTAGATGCGTGTTCAAATAAGACCCCTTCCAAAACAAAGAATATTTTCTTGCGCGATCAAAATAGGACCTCCTGCAAAAAAGGTAAATTAATTATTTCATAGGTAAGACAACTAAAAATTAATTTCCAAGAAAACCGACTTACCCGTCCAGCATGTGTTTCACGTTTAAATTTAATTTTTCATAGATGCATGTTTTTACGTTCAAATCTCCACAGATGCATCTGTTCGTCAAAAAGTAAAATATCATCAGCTTTATATACTGATCAAGATAAACAGCTACTTTTCCGACTATCAACCATCATTCTACAAACGAGTATTTTACTGAAGAAGAAATTCGAAACGCGAATAAATTCTCATATCTCCATTTTTTTTTTTGTTCAACATTCGCTGCTATATTTTTTTAAAAATCATATAGTTTTCTATTAAAACAAAATCAAAACACAACCAAAACACATTCTATTATTTAACCAAGCATTTATCCAAGCAACGTCAGTATTGTATCATTTCTCTTCTCTTTCCATGCTTTGCCTGTATTTCATCTACCGTACTTCTCTTAGTACACAAAAAAATAAACAATAAAAAAAACAATTTTCAAAAAATTGGGTAAGCCTTTCTTTTTCCTTATCTTTTTCCGCTTTAATTTCTTCTCCTTCGATTTATCATTATTTGTCAAACATCACAGTTTCTTGAGCAATCCCTATTTATTATGCTCCGATAAATCGAAAGATATTCAATGGATCAACAACAAATAGATAGCAACGACCACCAGCTATTGGACATACTGAAACCAGAGCAGCTACAAAACATACCTCAGATACAGCAACAAATACCGCCTCGAAACAACTGATCAACGTCAACATTGGATCTCGAAATCACAGCAGTAATCGATGCCTCCATTCACACGGCAGACAACCAAGAACCAACGACTCCGTCTCGAACCGTCCAACCACCAGTAACAGTCTTGCACGCCACACCATCGCACCCAGTTTTCATCCACATATTATCTCAGGCCCCTATCTCATTGTATTTCATCTACCGTACTTCTCTTAGTACACAAAAAAATAAACAATTAAAAAAAACAATTTTCAAAAAATTGGGTAAGCCTTTCTTTTTCCGCTTTAATTTCTTCTCCTTCGATTTATCATTATTTGTCAAACACCTTCACAGTTTCTTGTTCACAAAACTGGATCTCAAGTCCGGTTATTTCCAAATCCCAACCGCCGAAGCCGACAAATGGAAGATGGCCTTCTTCACGCACGATGGCCTTTACGAATTTAACGTTCTAGCTCAAGGCCTCATGAACGCCCCTCATACTTTCCAACGGGCAATGAACGAGCTCCTGGCGAACGGGCGGTGGGATTACGTCGTCGTGTATCTCGATGACATCATCATCTTCTCCAAGACGCTCGAAGGGCACAAGCTTTATGTGGATGAGGTCAGCTTCATCCTCAATCGGGCCCACTTCCAAGTGTCCCCACCGAAGTGTACGATCGCCGCGGAGAAAATCGAGTTTCTCAGCCACATCGTCACGGGCGACAAGGTGCAACAATCCTCCGACAAAATTCAAGCCATCGTCGAAATGGCACCTCCTCACAGTGGGCATATAGGCGGAAATTAGGCGGAAAATCGAAATAATCCTTTTTTCAAATATAAATAGTGCAAAATGTAGCTCTTGAAATTGTCTATCGAATGGTGTATAAATGTCTATTTTTAACTTC